GAGAGAAGAATCCTCAGGACGAGGTTCCTGAGTAGCGACTGCTGGAAGAGCAACGGTGTGGCGAATATCGGCTGCCCGAAGCGGTCCGACTCGATCGAAGCCCTCGAGGACGGTAGCAGAGGAAGAGAGAGAGAGAGAGGAGAGTGGTGGCGTGGCATTTCTCTCGAATCTCCGCGTCGCTTAGGCGCGGACAACTTTTTCCGATCGTGCGCCGCTGTACCGTAACGACGTATACGGCGTATTGATCAATTAGCCGATCAATATAGCGCGCACGATCAATGCGCGCGCTGCGAAAATATTACGCGGCGGACTCGGCATGCGGATTTCGACGGATGCGACGGAGTCGGCGGACTCTCTGGTAGCATGGCGAAGGTACAAAACCGAGGACACAATAAATGCGCGCGACGAATGCTGACGACGACGACGACGACGACGACGACGGACGACGACGACGACGATTGCGATCGTAATGATGCTAATGATGCTGGTGATTATGATTATAATTACAGTGACGACACTGATGATGATGATGATGATGATGATAAGGTGACGATGGAACCGAGGATGGACGCGGAGGTACTTATGTGTGTAGAGCGGCGCGTATGGCTTTGTTCTTTTTGTGTAAATAATATAATAATAATAATAATGATATTAATAATGCATAGAACGCTCCGTTGTGTAAATAATGCTGAGGATGCGCGGCGGCGGGGTCTCCCGCGCGTCGCGTCGCTTTTAAAGATATTTTTGACGATCAAAGCCCAAGTTGTATAGATGACGATCCATCGATCCGAGTAGAGTTAATTACCGTAAAAATTACATATGTGTATAATATATAGTATTTTTTCATGAGGGCCGCAACGAGACGACGACGGCCAGTCGGACGACTTTCGGTCGTCGGGCTTTCGAAAAAAGAAAAAGAAAAAAAGACAAAGGGGGAGGTTCCAGCTGCTCGCGTCGCGGTCGCGCCGATGATTTCTCTCTCAAATCGCGCCATCTTTGTTGGACGTCTCGGACAGTGTTGGGCAGCGTTAATCAGGCGGTAAATCGGGCCCCGCAGGATCGGTCTGATTATCGAAAAAACCCCTATTCCCCCCCCTCCGCGACCTTTCACCTTGACTTTGCTTTCAACATTAATTAATTATAAACGTCACGCGGAAAGAAGGCGAAAGAGAGAAAGAGAGGGAGGGATGGCGAGCGAGGGAAAATTAATCGTAAACGCCACGCGAAAAGAAGACGAAAGAGAGAAAGAGAGAGGATAAAGATTTATTTTTGCAAGAATCTCTAGCGAGAGGAGGAAAGGATCGCACGCGTTTCGCGGCGCGTTTGAGGCTACAAACTTCGCCAATTCATACACGATTGACGTCGGCGAAACTCTGCGCCCTTCGCGCAACCTCCCCCCTCCTCCCCGACAAGTGTCGCGAAATAAAAGTAAGTAAAATGCAGCGTCCCCGTCTCCCCCTCCCTCCCTCTTTCTCCTTGTCTCCTTTTCCTTCGATGAGAGCGTTTATAACCGGTAAAAGCTCGGTGTATCTCGGGGCCGAGCGCGTACCCCGATGAATTATACCAGTATCCCCCCCCCTCACCCTTCCGCCGCACCCGCAAGGCAAAGTGCGCGAAACGAGTCGAACTCTCCTTGTACACGCTTGTAATATCATAGCGCCGGTGTAATATTGTTAATTACCGCGTTTTAACGACCGCGAGAGCCCGCGCGGTTAATGATGCTATCATCACTAATATATTTCGCTTACTATATAATATATATATATATATGTATAAATATCTGTTATATTTATATATATATGTATACATATATACATATATATGTTCTAAATATTATATATAAAAATCTATATATATATATATATATTTTTATTGTGTAACTATAATAAATCGCTACTACGACTACCAATTCAACCTTGGACGCGTACTTCACCCACGAATTAACATTTAACGATTAACCGGTCGGCATGGGGGGGGGAGGGGGGCGAAATTACCGCGTCGCAAGTGGAAATTCTGTCCATCACTGGTCCGGCTCGTCGACGTTCCGCGACGCGGAACCGCCGCGCTTGGAATCTCGCGAGCGCGCGCGTTCGCCCCGTGCAATTTTTGTAAATACGCAGCCACGTATATACCGGTCGCGCGGGGGGAGGGGGAAGGCGACATGCCCGGCGTTCGGGAGCGTTCCTCCGTAGACGCGCACGGATGAATTTATCGATAAAACACTCCCAGCCGCCGGCCACCATGTCGTGTTTTTCAGGAGACGACAACGGCGAGGAGGACGCGGCGGATTAGCGACTAACGATTCCCCGAATATCGGCGTTTCGCGACCCCGCTCGGGTGGCTTCTCGTCCGGGGATTAGGGGTGCGGTTCACCCCCGCGTGCGGGCGCGCGAAATCCGTCGGATCATCCGCCGCGCGCTCGCTCGCGGCGTTCACGCGCCGAACTTCGCAGCGGGAAGTCCAAAGGAGCTACCCGGAAGCAGCGCGATCGAGATGATTAACGCGTCGGATGACGGCGTCGCGATTTCGGCGAGAATTACAATGTACAACCCGCGCTCTTTGATATTCGTCCTCCTCGTCGGCGTCGGCGTTTCTCCTCCGCGACGTCCCGATCTTTTGCTCGCCGCGACGCGTGTTTGGGCCGCAGACGCGCCCCGGTATCTTTATCCGTATTTTTCCGAATAATTGCGTCGGCAAACACATACACACACATACATACACACACACACACACACACACACACACACACACAGGCATGCGTGGCGAGCCCGGGCGTATCTCATTCACACGTTCGAAAGCGCACGGATCGTTTTCCCCCGGCAAATAAGAGCAAAAGGCCTCGCCACGCGCTCCACTTTATTCATACGACCCAATTATCGCCCCAAACTTTCTGGCCAAGGTTGCAGAACAGGAAGCGCATCTGTTCCGAGCGGTTGCGAGCGAAAGCGCGCGCGCGCGCGGGCGAGAGGGAGGTTGAGAGAAAGGGTGGCGACGGAGGCGAGAAAGGGCCGCGCGAGTTATCCGGCAACGAAGCGGACCAAAGTTTGCGCACACACGTTTCGGCCCCGTAAACGAAGTTCGGAATTAAGCCCTTTCGTCCGTGTTTTGCCAATCGATAGATTGCCAGGCGGTAAGTATTCCCCTCGGCGGCAATACTCACCGATTCCCATGTGCGGCCGATAAATACGCGACTGATTGAATTCCCATCACTGGCCGGTCCTCCGACGGCGCCTTGTACAAACACGAGATTTTTTTATTTTTTATCTTTTTTTTCCTTTTTTTAGGGGGAAGGGGGTGGGAGCGGGTGAATTTTAATAACACCGCGACGCGAGTGATGCGGGGATCGACCCGGCGCGCTTTTATTTTTAACGCGACCGAAGGAGCACAAGAGAGTGGCCGGAGGAGGAAAGCGACGAAGAAGACAAAGAAGAAGGAGAAAGAATGAAGAGGAGGAGCGCGATATTTTAGCGTAGCGAATCGGAGATTGTTATATTTTAGTAACACGTTTGATAGTTGACGTAAAAAGAAAAAGAAATAGTATCTCGAGACGCGAGCGAGCGACAAGTTTGCGAGGACTTTGAAGGGAATGCACGTGCGAAATGCGATTAGAGGACACACGAAGAGAAAGAAAAAAGGCGAGAGAGAGAGAGAGAGAGAGAGAGAGAGCGACGAAAGAGTGTCGTGTCTCCTTCCGGCTAGTACCTTCAGGAACGTGCCTGAATGGGCGGTTTGATAGTCATTAGGAGCGAAGGACCTGCAGATAAGAATTTAGGACGCGAGTGAGAGAGAGAGTGAGAGAGAGAGTGAGAGAGAGAGAGAGAGAGAGAGAGAGAGAGAGAGAGAGAGAGAGAAGAGAGAGAGAGAGAGAGAGAGAGAGAGAGAGAGATTCCCTTCCACCGTGCGCTTTTAGAGACGGGACAAGTAGCCGCCGCTACGCTACGTATCGATTGTCTTAATGTCAACGCGATCACTTAATTATTCGCTGCTCATTAGTTCACTCGCAGTTTCGAGGCCGTTCGCGAGCCGACACACGTTTGTTGCGCGAGCACGCACTCAGACTCTACGATACACACGCATACACATACACATACACCCCCCCGCACACACACACACACACACACACACACACACACACACACACACACACACACACACACACACACACACACGCACGCACACGCACACGCACGCACACACACGCACACACACACACACACACACATCTGTACATACACGTGCGTATTAATTAAGTGCGAGATTTTAGAAAGATTAAGTGAATTTGACCGGCGATAACTTGGTTACACGAGCGAGTGTTTAACGCCGCGCGCATACGCAGACGCATTCTCTCCTTTATTTTTGTCATATGGATACTTGGCCAATAAATAAAGTGCATGTTAGATCATGACGAGCGAAGCGAGGACCTCCCGTGTGTCGACTGTTATTTCGACCCCCTGCTCGCTCCCCAATTTCAGCACCGATCCCGAATTTACCCCCGCGCGCCGAGACGATTCCTCCTGAAGGATATGGACCCTCGTACGCTGAAAGAGTGTTGTATACCGCCTTGTTCTCCGTTCGGCTCGACTCCTTTCATTTAACACTTTCGGGGGTAAGAGGACTTGAGATGACACGCAGCTGACTGAGAAGGACACTTTTGGACTTCAAATGATTGATTTTTCAGCTACTTTGGACGATTCAAATACGATCAATCTCAACACGAAACAGATTCTTGCGTTTGATATATGTGTTTCACACGCGACCCTTGCTACGGGGTGAAATTTCACCCGACGCAAATTTTTGATCTTGTTAAAAAACGCAGCCACAATACTGACAATATTAATTCTATCTTCAATGTGAATAATTATTTATTATGCGAATAATTATTTATTATTATTATTATAGTGATTTATTTCCTGTGAATAATTATTTATTCGCACTATCGGCGGTGATTATAATAAAACAGATCAATTCTCGCCCACACTTTGCTGTAAGAAATAAGAAAAATTTTTTCAGGGTGATGTTTGATGACAGCCTTTAAGGGGGTTAAATATACTCGAATTAATTCAAAGGTAATAAGAATGTCCAGAGTCGGTATTTTGCTACTTTCGCTCCGTTGAAAACTGTTTTACGCGCGTTGCAAATTTTCACGCCGCGGACTGGAAAAAAGCAGCCGGGCGAGCTATTAATCGATCGTTCCAGCGTACGAATTGGGACTTTGGTCTTTTTTTATTCAACACAAATTTTCAAAAAGAGGACCATCCCGTTCTCGGCGCATCGACGCTGATGAAACTCATCATCGTCGAGATGCACGCGCATTCGTTTGCGAAACGGTTCGCGCGGACATTTTACCTTTTTTTCCGACCAGGTTGAGCGCGCATTTGAAATATTCGACGTTTGCGATCGTAATACGTAGCCGGGGATTCAGGACGCGACGCCGGAGTATCCTCGCCGAGGTCTCATCTACTCAGCCAAGAATGCGACAAAGGATCCACGTTTTCTATTTTTTTCTGTTTTTTTTTAGCACCGTGAACTGTCACGTCAGCTTCTGTCATGACCGTGCGAGCGGCGGCTCGCAATAGCGGCTGTGTTGAATGCGCGCCGCCGGCTTCATCCCGGCAAATGTGCTCAAACCATTTCGCATCGCTCGTGCCAAGTAAAAAGTGCTCGGTAAACATGCGTCGAAAAATCAGCCCTTTCAGAGGTTACAAACGTTCCTTCGATTTTAGATAACGCGAGCGTTATTCGTGCGTTCCCGTCGATCACGCACGTTGAGCAAACAGACGGCTAACTTGCCATATTATTATCATCGCGCTGCTTGCGGAAGGGATGTTTACGAAGAGCTCGCTTTATTCCTCGTTCATAAAAAATAATGCAAAAATTGCATCGGCGAATTCAAGCCGTGAGCAGATTCGAAGAGGAT